AACAACTTTAAGCGATTATCAACTTATGCACATGCTGTGGGTTTACCCATGCTATCGACACAGGGGACCACCCGCCAGTACACCTACCCTTACGACGTACGTCCCCCAAGAATGGGACAGAGCAAGGCAGGAAATCGAGAAAACGCTGGCCCACGCAGTCATCCGTCTTTCCGTTGCCCCGAATTAACGATATGCTGGCAGCACTCCATGGCGCCCAAGATTTCTCAAGTCTAGATGCTGCGTACCACTAGACCGCCAACGCTGAAGATCTAACTTGTGGGAGGCCTGTGGGGCACGGGTTGGCGCCGTTGCTGTGTGTGGTTCGAGAGGCGAGCCATTGGAGTGAACGACTAGTTTCATCAAAAAATCAACTGTCGGAACTCGAGCATGACAAGCACACCTTAGCGTGTTGATTAGTCTTAAGTCAACGGTCGCCGAGGATCGAACCCGGGATATTCTGCGCGTTAAGCAGATGTCATAGCACTAGACCACGACCGCCAAGCCATTGGAGTGATCGACTAGTTTCATCCCAAAATCCACTGTCGGGTCTCGAGCACGGGTCGCACGAGTGAAAGTCGTGTATTCTTACCACCTGGACCCGGTGGACAACGCACACTCGGCGTGTTGATTAGTCTTACCTCAACGGACGCCGAGGATCGAACTCGGGAACTTCTGCGTGTTAAGCAGACGTCATGGACACTAGACCACGACCGCTAAAGCAAGGTGTCATGCGAAGACCGCTTGAGTCTGAACGAGAACTGGTGCAGGATCAGCCATCACATTGACATCAACGATCTTGGGACCAACATTGAACACATCGAGGTAATGTATAACTTCCTTGGTGAATAAAGATAGCTTTCCAGCTTCGTTTCTAACTTCATCATCCTTGAAACATACAGCAACCTTCAGGGTCCTCGTCCAAGGGTTACCTAGGATGTTTAAACGAGCTTCTTTTACAATGCAGAATAGTGCATAGATGATCTGGGGATCTGTTGATTTCACCATGTTTAATTTACCCCAGAAACAGTCCGCGTATCCCACCAATACCGCTCATACCTCTCTACGGTGGACTTCCGTATGTGACAGAAGCCGTACCGTCTACTATATACCTCCCTAGACCAGCTGTCATGCCCGAGTCGGTAGGAGGTTCCTTTCGGGTTCCGGGAGTCCCCGGTTCGAATCCCAGCGGGG